CAATGTTTTTGATGAGATAACATTATAAGCCAGATCAGAAAATAGTGTCAAATGGGCCCTTTAATGCTTATGCATACTACTAAAAAGTAATTCTATAAATAATAATAATAAGTTATAATAATAAATGAGTTTATTATTAGGAATGTGCTACATTTCAAATGTATGAAAAGTGCTATAAAATAAAGTTTGATTGATTGATTGATTGATAATAAATGTACATTAGCAGGAAAATAATGCGATGCAAAATAACATGAATAAGACAAATAGAAATGAAAACACACCAGATTAACCACTTCTAGGTATACAAATTAGCAGTTGGATATGTAAATGTACTCAGAAACTGTTAATAATTTTACTACTCTCATTTACTACTCTTACTTCTGTTGCTACAAGTACTATTCTACCTTACTCTATTGTAATTCTCCAACAGTCATAAATTGAGCTAAATGTCCTTCTTGCATGCAAAGCCTCTCTATATAAGCTTGGGACGAGAGAACAATGATGAATGAATAATAATAAAACAAACTATAGCTTTAATGTGTATATCATAACAATAAGAAAAACAACTCAAGTACATATATCCATTGTAAATACTTCTGTAACTATTAGCCAACTTTTTACCATAAGTACAGTGGCTAGAACACACACCGCTGGTGTGGCGTTTATAAATTATCTTGTTGATTGGAAATGGATTTGATTGGACACTTTTGAGAGTTTTTTTGCCCTGAAGAAAATGTATGGCCATATACATTTCTCATTCCTGCTCCAGTTTCGCCCTACTTACAATCACGCTACATTGATTCAAACCTTTACACAAGAGCCTGACACCGGCCCATTTATTATCATTATGTTCAAGGAAAATGCCTCGCTGCTTCCGCCCGAATTCACCATCTATTTCTCCAAACGTGAAAGTGGCGGCCCCCTCACACAAGCTTAAAACACTTTAGCCTATCATTTAGCAATGACACAGCAGAGGGCCCAAATCGCAGCAATGTCAAATTCATTTTTCTGCTCAGCCATGACAAGCCGTGTGATGCAACATGGGCTATGCTTTGGCTGCAGGTAGGTGCACTGTGAAATTGACACATTAAAACAGGCTGTCATCCAGATGTTATGAATCAGTTATACTAATTGTTTTAAAGGTGCACTATGTAACTTTTTGGATGGGGCTCCTTCACCTGATTGTTTCTATGGATATGTCATTGCTCTGCCTGGAATGTTCTACAGTGTGACATTAAACAAACAACTTACATTTATTCAGTTACAGATGGCTTTTTTGCTCAATAATATGTAACCCTGTTAATTTTGCCCAATAAAGTCCCTACATGAAATCTAACTTCAAACCGAATTTAACCGCAACCCCCAGTTTTGCCACTAGGTGGCAGTGCACTGAAATACTTAGAACTTTCTGGAATGCTTCCGCTGGCGGCCATTTTGCTAAGCAGCACAGACTTAGAAACAGACTGAGACCACAAGAGGTAAAATTGAAATAAATGTAGATTTTGTAATTTAACTAAATCCTGAAACTAACTAATGATATATCCTAAAGGTTCTGTGAATATTTGAACTGCATTGGAACTGGAAGAAATCTTTGAAAAAGTACATGTTATCCCGGTGAGTCAATTTCTGTTGTGTTACTGCCCTATTGTTGATAAAACCAGTTGGGGTGAATTGTAAATTTAAATTTTTGGAAAATCAAATGATTTGTACTTTAAAAAGGAGAACTAATTTAAATTTTGTACGCTAAAGGCCAATTTTAGTTTATGTTCAGTGTTTACAAGGGTACAGTTAATCTGAAAAAATGGACAGTTGTAGTAATTTCCTGTACATTTTGTAGACTGTTTTTTTAGAGGGTCTGGCTCTGAGCCCTGGTTCTCCCTGATTCCTGGTCCTATTCCTGGTTCTACCAACGCTGGATTTCTCTTCGTTCACCCTGGTGCCTGGTTCCCTGGTCCACCTCCTCAACTAACAGCGCTGCAACGATTGTACTGACACTGAGTATTAAAGGGGCGGTAGGACATTTTTTTCTAATTGAGTGCACTCAGGGGGTAATTTTGTTTGGATTGGACAATATTTTATTTTGAGATCTCAGATGTTGTTTGGCCAAATGTGTAAAGATATTTTGTGTGTTATTGTAATTTACTGTGAATAGACAAAAGAGCTGAATAATAATTATCAATTCTACATTTAATCACCAATCTGTTGTAGTGTGCTTCTTTTGGGGGTGGAATCTATCAGTTTATTAACTAGTTGACCTATTTTCAACCGACCTCCTCATTGAACCTAGATTTAGATAACCCTCACTTTAGACATTTGGAGCTATTATCAACAGTGTTTTAAATGTAGGGTTACAGTCGTGGCGAGCCAGCCAGGAGGTTGGTGCAGTGAAAAATACAGATTCCACGCACATTAAAGAGCACAGAAGGTATAAACCCTTTGTTTATAAACTGAGTTATCTAAAAGCAGAAATTACCTTTATTAAGTAGACATTTGCTGCAAAATGGATCTTTGTAACCAATTTGATGTACATGGGCCCAGTTGTCTTTATGTTACGGGCATAGATGAAGCATATACAGATAGTGAAATCTCTGATTTCTTCAAAGTTAATGGGACCGTTAAGAAAGTTGTTAAAATTCCCAGTGACCCAGAACAGCCCCAAGGCCGTGTACTTGTTGAATACTCCTCTGATCGCGCAATCTCCAGACTTGACCCAGCACAGCTAGGTAACCTGCCCAGTCCCAATAATTCCGCAGTCACCTGGTGTGTCAGAACCATTCGTGAACTTTGTCAAGAGGAACTTGGACGAGAAATGGCTCAGAAATGTTTAGCTGAATTGAGCTCCCTTACAGGGATCAGTAGAGCAGGGTTTTGGGATGTACTCCAGAACGAGCTGCAAAGTGCACAGCATGACCTTGCCCCTCCTCAAAGCCCAGACACTCAGCTAGAGACTTTTTGAACAGCCTGTTTTTGCCTCTACCACTGATAGTGATGTAGAAAGTGGAAAACAGCCCAGCAATGCTACAACGAATGTCCCTGATCCAGGTACCCGCAGCATTCCACACACTGCTGCTCCAAGCATTCCTGTTCTTGATGAAGGTACAATAAACCCACCTCACATCCAAAAGGTCATAGTTGAACATTTCATTCACAGTGATTCCACACCTTCTAGCTACAGCCAAAGTAGAATTCGCACATTCTCTAGGGCGGCTGCCAAAACCAAATGGAGAGGTTGATTATGATGCTTGGCGTACACAAGTGGATCTACTTCTGAGTGACATGTCCCTCTCTGATTCACAGAAAGTAAGGAGAATACTGGAGAGCCTCCTCAGCCCAGCTGCGGATATTGTCAAACCACTTGGAACAAATGCAACTCCCCAAGCTTACCTCACTCAACTTGAGTCAGCCTTTGGAGAAGTAGAAGATGGAGAGGAGCTTTTTGCGACTTTCCTGGGCTCTAACCAAAATTCAGGTGAAAAGTCCTCAGTCTATTTAAACCGCCTCCAAACCCTCATTACAAAAGCCATATCTAGAGGGGGAGTTTCAGCTGCTGAGTCCGACAGGTACTTACTCCGACAGTTCTGTAGAGGGTGTTGGGACCAGAGCATCATCATTGGTCTCCAGCTTGAGCACAGGAAAAGCAACCCCCCTACGTTCCCAGAGTTGCTTCTGCTTTTGAGGGCAGAGGAAGACAGGAGAGCAGCAAAAATGGATCGTATGAAAAAGCACCTTGGAAGTTCAAGAGCCACTGCACACGTTCATTCAGTCATGAGTATGCCAGTAATTGAAAATGAGCCCATCCCTGCAACAGAAAGGAAACATGAAACAAATTTGAAACTTGAGAAAGAAGTAGCAGAGTTGAGGAAACAAGTTGCAAAGCTATTAGAGCAAGGAAAGAAAGGGCAAAGACATGAAGAGGTGCAGAGTCACCCAGCCCACAATGAACAACCTGTTCAGAGTGAAAGTTTACTCGCTCAAGCTTCAAACAGAGACTCAAATTCCCGAACACCAACGCCACCCAAGCCTTGGTTCTGTTTTAAATGTGGGGGTGATGGGCACATTGCAGCAAACTGCACTTTTGAGCCAAATCCAAGCCTTGTCCGTAAAAAGAATGCGGAGCTCAAAGAAAAACGAAATAAATTCTGGGCCCGGCAGGCAATCAGCCAGACTCCTTTAAACTTTTAGAGGCTCCTGCTACGGGACGATCAGGAGCTGGAGGCAGAGAGCAGAAAAGTCCCATAGCAATGATACCCAATGAACGGTCTTCTGAAAGCAATGACGATCCAAACTGCAGACTACCTCATGGACTTGTGGGCCCACGGTGCACTTCAACTATCTCAAATTGGAGACATAAATTGTGAATCCATTCTTGACACTGGGTCCCAAGTAACGACGATTTCGGAGGCCTTCCACTCCAAATACTTGTCAAACTTACCTATTCATTCAATACACAACCTTCTTGAGGTGGAAGGCGCTGGAGGTCAAGCAGTACCATACCTTGGGTATGTAGAAGCCCACTTAACATTCCCAGAAGATGTTACTGGAACAGAGGAACAAAGGCCTGTTTTAGCACTCATTGTCCCTGAATATGAGTTCAATAGCAAAGTCCCAGTGCTGATTGGTACAAATGTTTTACTCAAGCTGTACCAGCGTGGTGTCAGTCATGACAAGTCTAAATTTCTCAAAAGATCCGACAGTTTTGCAGCACTGCTCCAGCATGTAGCTCGGGTGCACAAAACTGAAACCAAAGCTTGCCCTGTAAAGCTGCATGGAGAAAGGTCCATAACCAATTCCGGCCAGACACAAAATCTGCCTTTTGGGAGATGTTAGGGTGGGGAAAGCCAATCTCAACACCAACTTTGTTGTTGAACCTCCTGAGTCTTCCTTCTTGCCAGGTGATCTGTTCGTTCAGAGTGCACTGATTAACATTAACACAAGAGCCTCAAATAAGATTCCCGTTGTCCTCAGTAACACTACAGATCACAATGTCACCCTGCCCCTAAAGTGTGTCATTGGTGAAGTGTCCGTAGTTCAGAGAATAATGCCCCTGGCCTCTACTACAGAAGGTAGTTCACAATCATCCAATGGCAACCATTCATTTAACCTTGACGACTCCCCAATGCCTGAGGAGTGGAAAGAAAGAATTAGAGAGAGGTTGAACTCCATTCCTGAGGTGTTTGCACTGGATGAGTTATCGTTTGGCCATACTGCCACTGTAAAACATCACATCCGTCTGCAGGATGATACGCCCTTCAAAGAAAGATCTAGGCCAATACACCCCAGTGATCGAGAAGCTGTTAGGCAACACCTCAGAGAACTCCTGGATGCAGACATTATAAGAGAGTCTGAGAGTCCCCTTGCTTCCCCAGTGGTTGTTGTAAAAAAGAAGAATGGAAAGATTAGGCTGTGCATTGATTATAGGAAGCTTAATAGCCGCACTATTAAAGATGCCTACGCTCTTCCTAATATCGAGGAGACATTTTCAGCTCTTAGTGGTGCAAGGTGGTTCTCAGTGATGGACTTAAAATCTGGTTACTACCAGGTGGAAATGGCAGAGGAAGATAAGGCCAAAACTGCTTTCACGTGTTCCCTTGGGCTTCTACGAATTTAATCGTATGCCACAAGGAGTCACCAACGCACCTAGCACCTTCCAGCGTCTTATGGAAAAGTGTGTTGGTGACGTCCACCTGAGCAAAGTTCTAGTGTTTTTAGACGATGTCATTGTCTTTTCCCAGACTCTCGAAGAGCATGAGGCCAGGCTCATGAAGGTGTTGAATTGTTTAAAAAGCTATGGCCTAAAATTATCCCCGGAGAAGTGTCAGTTTTTCAAATCTTCCATGAAATACCTTGGCCATGTTGTTGATGCTCAAGGAGTCCACACAGATCCGGATAAGGTCTCCGCCCTGAAAGATTGGCCTTGCCCTGCCAACAGGGAAGAGTTGAAGCGCTTCCTCGGTTTTGCGGGGTATTACAGAAGATTTGTTGAGGGCTACTCAAAGATTGCCCGGCCTCTCAACACACTTACTGCTGGATACTACCCACCTAGGAAGAGGGGTAAAACCTACAAAGCACCAAGGCCAAACCCTGGTATCAGCCCCAGAACACCCTTCGGCGCCGAGTGGACACCCGACTGTGAGTCTTCTTTCAGGATTCTTATTGAAAAGTTGACATCTGCTCCTGTACTGGCATTTGCAAACCCCAAACTCCCATATGTGCTTCATACGGATGCTTGTTGTGAAGGACTGGGAGCAGCTCTTTACCAGGAACAGGACGGGAAGTTAAGAGTGATCGCCTATGCCAGCAGAGGGTTATCCAAGAGTGAGAAGAACTACCCAACTCACAAGCTAGAGTTTCTAGCATTAAAGTGGGCGGTCTGTGAAAAGTTTTGTGATTACCTCTGTGGTACAGATTTTACTGTCCTAACCGATAACAACCCCCTTACTTATGTCCTTTCATCCGCCAAGCTTGATGCAGCTGGACACCGCTGGCTAGCTGCTCTCTCGACCTTCCAGTTTAACATCAAGTATCGAGCAGGCAATACCAATGGTGATGCAGATGGGTTGTCACGGAGACCCCAGGCAGCTCCACAAGAGGATCATGATTACCTGGAGGAAAAGGAACGGATAATGGCAATGACAAAACGCCTTCTAGAGGGGGAGATCCCAAAAGATGCAGTCTCAGCTGTTTGTCAATGGCATTCAGTAACCACGTACTTACCTGTCCTTGCTGAATCTCTTCTTCTTGATGCTTTTTCCTTACCTGAACTATTCACAGGCAATGGGCAGAGCACCTTACCTGAAATGACAAAGGAAAACTGGTACAATGCACAAAGAAATGATCCATCCATCCAGAGAGTCATTGGTCTAGTGGAACAAGGACAAAAGCCTCACTTCAAAGCTGTAGTGGCTGAGCCACCTGAAGTTAAGTTGCTCCTTCGAGAATGGGATAGGCTTGAGCTCATTGATGGTGTTATTTACAGGAAAGGTTTTGACAGAGGTGACAAAATTCATCAGCTGATCTTACCTGAGATGTACAGAGAAAGAGCTCTTAAAGGCTTTCATGATGACGTTGGACACCTAGGGCCAGAGCGCGTTTTCAGTCTTGCCCGTGCCAGATGTTACTGACCAAAGATGAAAGAGTCAGTTGAAAGGAAATGTCACACATGCGAACGATGTTTCCGGAGGAAAAGTCAGCCACAGAGAGCAGCACCCATGGTAAATATTAAGACAACCTACCCTCTAGAGCTCGTTTGCATGGACTACTTGTCCCTAGAGCCTGACAATCGTGACATCCAGAAACATATTAGTCATCACTGACCATTTCACCCGGTTTGCAGTGGCTGTGCCCACGAAAGATCAAAAGGCCAGAACAATTGCTAAAGCTTTATGGGAAAACTTCCTTATCTACTATGGGTTCCCAAGCCGTCTTCATAGTGATCAAGGACGCGACTTTGAATCCCACACGATCAAGGAGCTGTGTTCACTCATTGGAGCAGACAAGGTGCGTACCACCCCGTACCATCCCCAGGGGAATCCTGTGGAACGCTTTAACAGGACCCTGATCAGTATGCTCGGAACTCTTGGAGGAGAAGGACAAACATCATTGGCGAGATTTTGTGAAGCCCGTTGTACATGCGTACAATTGTACGAGGAATGATTCGACAGGGCTACTCACCGTACGAGCTGATGTTCGGCAGGCAGCCGACTCTCCCAGTTGATCTCATCCTTGGCTTGAAACCTCCAACTGAGACCCATACCACACACTCAGATTATGTCCAAAGCTTACGCCAGCGACTCAAAGAAAGCTATGCACTGGCTGCAGAGAACTCCAGGAAGTCCGGTGAAAGGAACAAACTCAGATTTGATGCCAAAGTGAAAACGGCTGAGTTGGCAGAAGGAGATCGTGTCTTAGTGAGAAATGTCAACATCCGAGGAAAACACAAGTTAGCTGATAAATGGGAAAGAACAATTCATGTTGTTGTGAGACGGATTGATGGTGGTCCTGTGTATGTAGTCAAGCCTGAGACAGGAAGAGGCCCTCAGCGCACGCTTCACAGGGACTTACTATTACCATGTGGATTTTTGCCAGTTGAGATTACTCCTGACCCAAAGTCACATCAAAGTAAACAACATAAAATGCATTTACGAAGCCAACATGAGACTCAGGATACGGATTGTGGTAATTCAGATGAAGAATATGGGGAATATGAGGAATATGATAGCTATGTGAGTAAGCCTTTACAGCCCTTGACATGGGGACCTTATGTGCAAGAGTTTGAAAGTACTTCCTCACCAGTGACCCTCAGTCTTCTTTGAACCCCATGGCTATTGAGTTCAGATCTTCAGAACTCCAAACCAGTCCTGATAACCCAGTCTCACCCCTTGCGTCACACGATACAACAAGAGCTGTGAACCAATTCTCCACCTCAAGGTGACCATGTTATCATAGACATTCCCGAAAGTGACATATGTCAAGATTCAGTGGTCACAGACACAACAACAGTTCAAGGATCAGACAATGCTCAGAGTACCTACCTTGAAATCTCTCAAAGTACCTCAGAGACTAATGCTGGAGAGGAACCAAGTGAGCTCAGGCGTTCACTGAGAGAAAGGCATCCTCCATCCAAGTTCACCTATGAAGAGTTGGGAAAACCTCTAATCCTTGCCCTCAGTCAGTTTTTTGGGAAGCTCCAAGATATTATCCCTGAACATCAGATGCCCTGTAGGGTTTAGAGCGCATGCAGAGACTCATGCGGTTTAGAGGGGGAGGGTGTAACCCTGTTAATTTTGCCCAATAAAGTCCCTACATGAAATCTAACTTCAAACCGAATTTAACCGCAACCCCCAGTTTTGCCACTAGGTGGCAGTGCACTGAAATACTTAGAACTTTCTGGAATGCTTCCGCTGGCGGCCATTTTGCTAAGCAGCACAGACTTAGAAACAGACTGAGACCACAAGAGGTAAAATTGAAATAAATGTAGATTTTGTAATTTAACTAAATCCTGAAACTAACTAATGATATCCTAAAGGTTCTGTGAATATTTGAACTGCATTGGAACTGGAAGAAAACTTTGAAAAAGTACATGTTATCCCGGTGAGTCAATTTCTGTTGTGTTACTGCCCTATTGTTGATAAAACCAGTTGGGGTGAATTGTAAATTTAAATTTTGGAAAATCAAATGATTTGTACTTTAAAAAGGAGAACTAATTTAAATTTTGTATGCTAAAGGCCAATTTTAGTTTATGTTCAGTGTTTACAAGTGTACAGTTAATCTGAAAAAAATGGACAGTTGTAGTAATTTCCTGTACATTTTGTAGACTGTTTTTTTAGAGGGTCTGGCTCTGAGCCCTGGTTCTCCCTGATTCCTGGTCCTATTCCTGGTTCTACCAACGCTGGATTTCTCTTCGTTCACCCTGGTGCCTGGTTCCCTGGTCCACCTCCTCAACTAACAGCGCTGCAACGATTGTACTGACACTGAGTATTAAAGGGGCGGTAGGACATTTTTTCTAATTGAGTGCACTCGGGGTAATTTTGTTTGGATTGGACAATATTTTATTTTGAGATCTCAGATGTTGTTTGGCCAAATGTGTAAAGATATTTTGTGTGTTATTGTAATTTACTGTGAATAGACAAAAGAGCTGAATAATAATTATCAATTCTACATTTAATCACCAATCTGTTGTAGTGTGCTTCTTTTGGGGGTGGAATCTATCAGTTTATTAACTAGTTGACCTATTTTCAACCGACCTCCTCATTGAACCTAGATTTAGATAACCCTCACTTTAGACATTTGGAGCTATTATCAACAGTGCTACCAACGTAGGGTTACAAATACATAGAAAAACAGGCATTCTGACTGTGAGTGACATTGTCTCTCCACAGATCTGACTGGTATCTAGGTATGGATTGGTCTCCATGAAGATAAAAGGTTTAATATCATACTGTGAAGCATTCTAGACAGTAATAACATCACCACGGACAAAAATATTTGAAGGATCCTCCACCAAAAAGGTTACACAATGCACCTTTGACTTAATCTTGATTAATGTTAAATACAGCTCAGGGTAGTTCCAATACAACATTTGTAAATACTACATTAAGATGCACTATACTTTTCTGGAGATTTGCAACATGATTGTCTTCATAGATATGAGAATTTTCCACAGTGTGGCATTTTAACTTTATTTATTTTCCTGAAAACCAACAAATGATACCGCCAGACTAGAAGTTATAGGTCAGATCTGTTTTTCAAGGTATTTTTGGGCAATAGAAAGAGCTGTAATAGAATAAAGGCAATAAAGATAAATTGAATGCCACAATGTGGAGCATTTTAGGCAAACAATATTATCTCATCTCAAAGGAGACAAGCTGGAGAAAAATTACATAGTGAACCTTTAAAAGTACTTTTCATTTGTATGGAAGAGTATTACTGTCACGTACAAAAGATGAGTACATTAAGATTAAATGATAAAAATCATCCCTTTCATGCTATCAGTATTTTCATTGAGCAGCTGCTGTATTCAGAACCAAACATAATGAGACACTTTGATTTGACTTTGATAAATAACTCATAACTACTTTTTATTTCTTGTTGAATTCCATAATTTCAAAGCAAGTCTGTGGCTAGACTGAGTTTTGAAAGCCATCAATATAAAGTTCAAATGTACACATCTCTCCTATTAGAACTGTGTATGTACCTTGCCTCCTCTCCTCTTCCTCACACGCTTTGGTTGGTGCAGCTGGTTGGAGCACTTTGCCTGAACTGGCACCTCTGCAGATTAGAGAAAGTGTGCTCCCAGCCCACAGTTCACTAAACAGTCGCACTTCATTTTACAACAAATAAACTTCAACATGTACTCTATCCAAGGTCAATCACTTAACACACCTCTACAGTACTTTGGTGCAAACATAAAAGGCGTGAGTTAAAAGTGCAGATAACTCGAGCACAAGTTACAATTCAGAAATTCTATAGGGTGGCAAGTCAGGGAATATTATTTCTGATAAAATTTTGCTCCCCTTGTTCTTTGGTGAGAATCTCTTGCACTCTTCATAATCCCAGTGCTGCATATGAAATCGAACTTGGAATATAACTGTAGATGGAAGGGCTCTCCCTTTCTACCTCACTACTT